GCTCATGCCCATTACATATTAGATTGAACCACCGTTGATGCACAAACACCATCACAAGTACAAATAACCTCTCTTCAATATTTTCTCATAAATTCAACTTTGGATGGTATTCTCGATGTTATGATGTTTGCCCAAATAGCGCCATGCTCGGAAGTGAGGGGACAGTGTCCATTATATCTTTTTTGAGCAAAGCACACTGTTGTATCCCAACTAACTTAGACCGCTTTTATCTGCTTCAAATACCTAATTCATACTTTAGTCAGTCACGGTAATCTCCTCATGCCCAACCGGTTTGACAGTTTAGTTACATAGCCACTCTGGTGACCTATGTCCGATGATGGGTCATCATACTCGAGGAGGAACAACCACTTCCGATTGTATTATCATAGGGGCCGTTTAGCTCACCAGTTTGTGAGCCCTCTTGTTTGTTTACGGGCTAACTGCTACACTCCATTAAATATCTTGCTTTTTTGACCTCAGTTATAGCCCCACGGGAATCAGTTTACCGTTCTGTAATCACTTCCCCGTCACTTTACTATCCTTAGACAAGCTTTTGCTGTTTGTGTTGTATTCAGCACAAAGACACATATGTGTGTGTTCAACGATCGGAGAGGACTGAGTGCATAACTTTGTATATCTAACCAGGGTTATGGCCACCCAGTAGTCTCAACTCATCGTGCTTAATTTTTTACCTTTGCTTGTTTCGGCCGTAGGAGAATTGAGATTTCGACTTGAGTCCTTTCAGAACGTTATTTAGGGGTCCTAGCGTTACTAATGCACGAGTATGCAGACTATGAGCTCATCTATGTTACTGATTACAAAGATAAATGGGATTTATTTCTCTGGACGTCAGAACATTTATTGTACTACAACTGATTATGATGGATAACTTCCATGGAATCTGACCTTGTGTACTCATTTCTTTTTATTGTCTCCAAGCGCAATTTTGGGCAGTCACTTATGCGTGACGAATACTTGTAGTCTACCGTATTGATATAGCTTTCTTTCTGAATTAACCTTTCGCCTGATTTTGCTGCCCTCGCATGGATCGTATGAGCTGGTACCATCTTCTCCCATGGCCACGCTGATATGAATTCATTCACAGTGGATTATATAATCATAACTGCACTATTATCAGACTTTCTCTATCCAAATTATCTTCGTAAAGTGTTACAGACACTATTTAATACCAGGGATTCTAAGTTTCGTACCTGTTTCTTTTTGTTTGAAGTTACTTTTGCTTTCACAGCTGCCGCACAGGGATCAGTGACGTTGTTACAAGTTCGGGTAATGCATCCCTCTACAGCTTATGCTCACTTATGTTGTATGAGTAATGTGAACGATGATTTCCAGTTTTGGACGAAACAAGGGATTACCGGTGGCACTTTAATTCAGTTTTGAACAACGTGAGCTGGCAAATCCAAAAACTGAGCAGAAAATCAATGCCCAATCCGCTTTTTCAGTGAGTGTAGAAACTGTTATCTGTTTGTTTTCCCCTGACGCTTCGATCCGTTGTCTCATGCAGACGAACACTGCAAATTTAGGCGAAAAACAGCATAAATTTAATAAATTAGAAAGACCATCGCGTTTTTCGTGATCAGTTGCGTGTTAAGATGAGTCAGTTCACCTCAGCGTTAGTCACAGTTTCCACCTGCTGGCTCTTTTGCTCACGTTTCTGCCGCGGTTGTCAGGTCCAGCTGGTCTAAAGCATCCCGAAAAGCGTCAATGACTCGGTTGATTTCGATCACGCGAGATCGATTACGCGAGTATTCTTCTTTCTCGTGTATTTCCGTCGTCAGTTGATTCAGCCATGATCGAGCCTGATGCTGTATATTATCGGCCAAGTTGTCCAACTGGAGAAGATGTGCATCATTGCTTGCCTGTAAGGCGTTAGTTACGGTTTCTTTGTCAATGAAAATCTGTGGGTGTAATAAAATACAGACGATACTAAACATTGCACTTGTTGAGCGGATGTCACTCCATTAAGTGATGCAGTGACGTGTATTCAAGAACGAACAGACTGACAAAACTGGTACGATGCGTACATCTACGCATTTTCGCAAAAAGCCTTCTTAAGTAAGTCCTAAATAGGGTATACCAAAGAGAACACGAACAGTAGAAATATTAGGTGGAAACCACTTTTTTACACACACAATGGATTCATAGCAAGCATCCCTTTGGATCCGGTTACAACAATTTTGAATAGGATCCTTAGCCCTATTGTGTTAATCGTTCTTAGGTCTCCATCCCGCAATGCACGATTTTCCAGTCACCGCTAGCTTCGTATTTGATGCTTTTACTACCCAGTGTCAGGTGAAACTGACTCCCAGCTGAACTTTTCAGTGATCTTCACCCATATGAATCGGTACAAACCGTAAGCTGGCTTCCGTAAGACATGACTCAATATCACTGAAGTCGGTTGAAACAGGTGCATGCTTTGACGGATTCAAAGTTCCTTTCAGTCTGTAACACGGGCGTCAAACTTGACTTTTGTCCACAGTTTACTGTCACTGTGTTGAAGACATCAATGGTAAAATGCATCAAGTCTGAATTTGATTTTTTGTCATGAGTCTCCAAACAGAGGGCCAGTGCAAACTGAGGCGTAATAGATGCGGCTTTTTGATGAAAGCAAAACTACTTTCATGCTCCATATTTGATCCAAGTTACGGTGGGCCAGAGGGGATCTCCAACAGGTCACTGAAGAGGATGAGCGGAGGAGATGGATCCTGCCAGTCTTGCAAGTAAACTGCATTGGCCTATTACGATGTGCCACTGTCAGTGTTAGCTTATCCAGAGCATTCTGTACAGACTGGGGCAGTTGCATAGGAATTCCACTGAAGGTGTTATATATGTGGGCTACAACAGTTATCTTGAATCACGAGGATTTTGATATCAACCCCTCTTTATGGTTTTGTTGTGGAATAAAGCTATCAACCAAAGTAGAGTTTGATCAACAAAACGGTGCCATTCCTTAATTTTAATTACTTCGTAATGAGTTTTGCCTAAATTCTTTAGATCATAAAATATTCCCATTGTTCTGTCAAAGAAGTCTGAAAGTGGCAAAGACAGATCTGTTTTCTTCGGTACTTCTCATCGGGCCAATACAGCACACACAATCGAACATATGTAGACACAACACGTAGCTTGTTAGACCGTAATGTAAGTACTCACACAGTTATTGTGATGTTTGATGTTGAGGGCTGTGTCCGGATGGACCAGTCAAAGATGAATCAAACTGATGTTGTTGTTTCACGATCTTACTAGCCTAAGGCC